TTTCTTTTTACTTGCTTTGTTGGTTTAGATACTTTCTAAGACTAAGACCACAAATTTCGACACATTCTATGCTGCTAAAGATTAAATTAAACCATTAATTCTTTCGTTTTGACTTAATTAATTTCCTAGAATTTAGTTTAATTTTTGTGGGTATTTCTTCTAGGAAACAAAATTATCAATTTAATTAATCTATTTTATATATTTATTAACAGTAAATAATTGGGTAAATTGACTTTTTATTTGACCAATTAATTATTAAGAAAGTGGCACCTTTAAATAGTGTTCTGACTAGAAGAAGTGACCAATTTAGAATACGTATAAAGATTAAAGCACATGTAGATTATATAAGATTTTATTCATGTTGACAGCATATAAATATTAGGTGAGATTATATTCAAGTTATAGTATTTTTTCTTTTTCCCTTTTTCCTACTCTTTTATTCACACTATATATTACGTAATTTTGTTTATGGAAGAAAAGTATACTATGTATTAAGTCGTCCGTGTATAATGTATTATTTTGTTTCATAAATTTTAACCATAAGTACGTTTACGTGACATAATTTTATTGACACATGAACGGTATGTTATGTAATTCTAACTAATAATATATTACATGAGAAAATTTTATATGAAACAATCTTGCTACATCCTTGTACTGATGTTATGATAGCGTCTAATTAAAATTAGTCACGATTTATAGCATATATAAGGAGACGGATAATAAAAAACAATTAATATTATTACACTATTATCGTATTATTTATATTTAATTTGTTTAAGCCTTCCCTAGATCTTAATTAACTTATAGAGTGTGAACCTTCCCTCTGTCTAGACAAAATTTCGTACAAAGTTTTGAATAATCTTTTTAAGTGGGTCCTTTTAGACAGTCTATTATTGATAATAAGTCGTTTCTTTTTATGCAGAAATTCCACAGAGATCTTCCTCCAACCCCAGTGTTCGCATTCGGTACATCAAAGTTCACAGCAAGTATCCCTGGTCCAACAATCGAAGCCCTCCATGGCATTGACACCTACGTGACGTGGCACAATCACCTCCCTTCAAAACACATTCTTCCATGGGACCCGACTATCCCCACTGCCATTCCCTCCACTAAGAAGGGCATCCCTACTGTGGTGCACGTCCATGGCGCTATTGATGAACCCGCAAGTGATGGCAATGCAAACTCCTGGTTCACCGCTAGATTTGAAGAAAAGGGTCCCACCTGGTCAAAAAGGACTTATCATTATCGCAACATGCAACATCCAGGGAATTTATGGTATCATGATCATGCCATGGGGCTGACACGTGTAAACTTATTGGCTGGCTTGATTGGCGCCTACATCATCCGTGATCATGAGGTGGAGGCCCCACTTAGACTCCCAAGTGGAGATGAATTTGATATACCGTTGATTGTTTTTGATCGTAGCTTTCGTAAGGACGGTACAATATACATGAATTCCACAGGAAATAATCCTTCCATACATCCACAGTGGCAACCTGAATATTTTGGCGATGTAATTGTAGTAAACGGGAAGGCTTGGCCACGTATGACAGTACGACGTCGTAAATATAGATTCCGTATAATCAATGCCAGCAATGCTAGATTCTTTAGATTCTTCTTCAGCAATGGTCTGCAATTTATCCACGTGGCATCTGATTCAGTATATCTCGGAGAACCTGTTGTGACCAATGAGACCCTGTTGGGCCCATCTGAGATTGCTGATGTGGTTGTTGACTTTTCAGAGTCAAAGTCCGATACTGTCATTCTTGCAAACGATGCACCGTATCCATACCCGTCAGGTGACCCAGTTGATGATATTAATGGTAAGGTGATGAAGTTTATTATAAAGAAAAATCATGAGGTTGACACGTGGCGTGTACCCAAGACCTTGATAAAATACCCATCACCTGATTTATCTAGTGCATCGCAAACACGGTACATTGCTATGTACGAGTACACAAGTGACATTGATGAGCCTACTCATCTTTACATCAATGGAAAATCATACGAACAGCCGGCAACTGAGACACCTAAAGCGGGGACCAGCGAGGTGTGGAATGTGATTAATCTAACGGAGGATAATCATCCACTGCACATTCATCTGGGATTGTTTGTGGTGTTGGATCAGACAGAGCTGGTTAACTTGGAGGAGTTCAAGACGTGCATGACAAAATTGAACGATGCGATCATGTGCCACATAAGCAAGTATGCAAGTGGCAAGAAGATAGAGGTGCCGGCACACGAGAAGGGCTGGAAGAACGTGTACAAGATCGCACCCGGAAACGTGACGAAGATACTAGTGAGATTTTCTTACATACATTCGAATGCATCGTATCCGTTCGATGCAACTGCAGAGCCAGGTTATGTGTATCATTGCCACGTAAGCACTCTCTCATCTTGGTACTTTAGTCACGAGTTGCCCAAATGATTTTCTCAAATCTTTTTTCGTCCCTGACTAGAATTTATTTTTAGAAAATTGGATTTATTTTCATAATTTTCTATTTTTTTGTATAATTGATTTTTTCTGAGTTTATATTAACCGTTGAGATGTGCAGATATTGGATCATGAAGACAATGCGATGATGAGGCCCCTCAAGTTCATCAAATAATTAGCGTAATGTTGTAATTTGATGAAAGAGTGATAGGTTTTTGTATTGCAAAATTGTAATAAGTAATAATAGGGTTTTGTATTACAAGTTTCTAGTGATTAATATATGATAGATTTTTGTATTACAAATTTCTAGTCATTGATATAGATTAAATTTCAAATCAATTAAATAGATAATGCTTCAGCCATCATAAGCACTTAAATTTCACAATAGCTAAATTCAAAGACCGGCTTAGTGGTTAAGGAGATTTGTTTTATTTATTAATTTATTGAGTTTTAAGTTTAAATCATTATAGGGTTACCTATAACATTTGTAGCTTACCTTGGAATATTGGACTTATAAGGTGTTCAATGGACCCCGATTATTAGTTAAGGTACATGCAAACTGGTCTGAACACTCCGATCATAAAAAAAAAAAAAAGTTCACAATAGCTAGTGCTTTACACTTTGGAAGCGCACAAAAGGCAGATATTTTTCCATTTTAGAGCACTAAATTTTATAAGTTTAATTAAAAAAATAGAAGCAATATAGTTTGTGGCCTCCTCAGCTAGAAAATATTAAATTATTTAATTGAAGTACAGTATTAGTTATTAGATTGATATATTTGAACGTATTTATAATGTATATGCTAACGTCTAAAGATGTTTTCAAATTTTGAACCAAATTTAAATAATAGTTAATATTTTATGTATCTTAAGAGTTACCATTTTCAAATAAATAATTAAATATATTTTTAATAAACAATAATTAATTAGTATAATATTACACATACAATATTTCTCATACAATTTAATATGACAAAATATGATTGGTTGATTTTAAATTAAAAATAAATTTTTATCCAATCATCTTTTATTACATCAGGTTGTATGAAAAATATTATATATGTAGTATTACTCAATTAATTAAGCTAGTAAAAATGTTGTATATGTAATGTTCCTTCAAGATGATTTGCACAAAAAGGTTTATATTATTTATTCAATAATCATTATCAGTATCACACTATCACTCACAAAAAATTGCCAAACCAATTTTCGTGTACATAATCTATGTAAATTTCTATACAACTTTCAATTATTGCAATAAGGACCCTCACCATGAATTTCATTAAGTTAAATGAAATATATAAATTTAATATTTAAAAAATGCCATCTCTTCGAACGAACTTCAACTCAAAGTGAGAAACTTCGTCAAATTCTATGTAATATTTGAGAAGTGGGAAGCTAAGCAGCAAGGCTTTTGGTCTACACCCACATATTTCTGAAAAACCCCTTTAGGGTCTCTTTGGTTTAATATTTTTTCCTATCCTATTAATACTATTTTCAAAATACATGTTTATTTCTTTATTCTGAAAATACTATTATATTTTATTCAACTAATTTTATACCCTCTAAGCTTATTAATTTAACTAAACACCCTCATAAAAAAGTTTAAAAATTAACAAAAATACCTTCATCCACTCACATTTGTCAGATTTTAGCCATCACCATCGGCAGGTAACCAAAATCTGGTATAATGACGTACTATTGGCTGGATTTGGTTGGTAATGTGTCGATCTATCATTTATCGGCCAGATCTACAACCAAAGATTTGGCCGTAGATCTAACCATTTTAGGCCAGATTTACCGTGAATCTAGCTGAAAAAGCCCATCTTGGCGTACGATCAGTCAGATCCAACCGGTCGTGCCTCGATACGGCGACTCTGACCACCCTCCGACGGAGTGGGTCGATATTTAATGAGTGAGTGGAGGTGTTTTTGTAATTTTTAATATTTTTATTATAGGAGTATTTAGTAAATTACCAAACATGGGAGGATGTTTTTATTAGTTTTTAAACTCTAAAAATATCAAAAATAATATTTCAAATACTACAACAAAGGCACCCTGTTAGTGGCTAGTAGGCTTCCCTACAAGGTTTGGCCCATTATAGAACCCAAAAGGCCCAAAAACATTCTAAGGGCAAAACCGTCAAAGTGCGGACAAAATTAAAGTGCTCCAAAATTTGGAGTTGGGTCTTGGGTGGGGGAACTGGGAACTACTTAATCCTCACCTCAGTCAAGCATTAAACAGCGTCACAAAATTGCGCCAAAACAATGGCGCTCCATCTCAGCCGTCCATTTCCAGCTTTTATGAATTTGAATCCGTTCTCAACCAAATCACCACCTTCCACCAAGCTGAAGATTTCCTGTTTCGCTCCTCGCCACTCGAACAAGGTCAGCGACTCGGTTAATTTCTTAACTCTTTAAACTTAATTTAATTTTAGCTTTAATTTTTAGTTTGTTCTGACGAGCGAGGATTCAGTGTAAGCGGGAGTACACGAACGTGATGATAGTCCCGACGGGAGTGGGAGCCGCCATTGGTGGATACGCCGGTGATGCTTTGCNTGAATTTGAATCCGTTCTCAACCAAATCACCACCTTCCACCAAGCTGAAGATTTCCTGTTTCGCTCCTCACCACTCGAACAAGGTCAGCGACTCGGTTAATTTCTTAACTCTTTAAACTTAATTTAATTTTAGCTTTAATTTTTAGTTTGTTCTGACGAGCGAGGATTCAGTGTAAGCGGGAGTACACGAACGTGATGATAGTCCCGACGGGAGTGGGAGCCGCCATTGGTGGATACGCCGGAGATGCTTTGCCTGTAGCTCGCGCTTTATCCTCCGTCGTTGATTGCCTCATCACTCATCCTAACGTAAGATAAAACCTATTTATATCTTTCATCTTTTAAAGCTGTGCTAAGGTCGTTTTAGTCATTTCAGCCACTGTGCTGTTGTGTACACTTTTAGAACTTCGCTTGTATTTGCTTTTTAAAATTGTGTTTAACGGTAATAACTAATGGCTTAAGATACTGTAAATTAATTTTGACTTAAAATTTAAATTTTATTTGATAACAAATTTAATGGTGAAAAAAGTTTAAAGAAATTAAGTTATTTAACCCAACACCCCCATTATGTTCCTTATTTTAATGGTTTAAGACTGTGATAAGAATTGTAACAGTATCAAAAACTTTCCGCCATTTAACAAAAAATGTCAGTGGTATATTAAAAATGGGTTTTCTACCCTTTATACCATTATATTTAACTGACTGAAAAGACGTTAAAGAGGTCTAACACGTTTTCGTGTCAAACCTTAGAGGTCGTACTTAATAAACTCTTAACTAATAGTAACTAATCCCCTTTACCTGCCTTTAAACAACGGTATAAAGTTGATTTAAATGCTGCTGAATTGCATATTGGTGGTGTTTGTTGTCAATATGATTGCTATATCATAATAATCAATTTGATGGTTTGGATAATTTGATGATTGATCACCACATGGCAACATTAAAGGGTAGCGGCGTTACTTGTAGCAAACCTATGCTTAAGCATGCAGTATGTCTTCCCTCTGTAAACTGGCACAGGTGCTTAATGCTGCAATGCTCTACTGGCCCATGTCTAATGTGTTATATGTTGAAGGTTATGCTTTAGATCGGTTTGCTGAAGGATTATGGGCCCTAATGCCTGTTCACCAAAACAAGGTATGTTTTAGTCATCTACCGTGTGCTAAATTCCTGCTTGTTGCTTAGCATACTTATGTTGTGGATTTTTTATTGAGTCAGGTGGGATTGGTTCTTGATGCGGGAATAGAGCCAGAGCTCCGTTTCCGTCATTTACAAGTGGCTGATGCAGCTCGGGCTTCCCTTGGATTGCCCATTATGGAATATATTATCACTGATACACCATTGAAGGTGCATACATTTAACTGTAATATTAATTTTTGGAGTTGAAATGGCATATGAGTGCAATAGGAGATTGGGCAATTTGGCTACTAGATTTTCATTGTCTATGATTGATTTTTAAAGTTCAAAATTGGAGTCAGCATAGTGATTGATGGATGGTCGGTAACATATAATTGTGAATATGTTTGAACTTATTTCAAGTGTTGCTTGTGCTTTAGTTATTTCTTACCCACAATTTTGAAAGAGATGCTTTTGTTGATTGTTTAATCAACTCTTTACAGATTAGAAGTCATGTTTTTACCTGTTGGAGTTGATAGAATTTTAGTGTACCTGCAAATTTATAAAAACGATAATGAAAATGAGAAGAAGATTGATTTATTTTTGCTGAAGTTTGAAATTGAACAACTTTACAGGTAGAAAAATGGGTTGATCCAAAAACTGGGCAATCAACGGGGGGATCAAAAACCCCAATTCGCTACTGCAAGCTGTGCAGACTTTAATTAACAGCACAGTGAATGCAATTGCAGTTGTGGGACGCTTCCCATGATGATGTTGGCGATGTCGATGATTATCGCAAGGAATGGTGAGTTATGTTAAATAAACAAATTGAAGATGTAGGGGTATTTTAGATTATTTGCAAAACTTTGGATTTAAGTGTCATGAGAATAAAAAGATGCTGATGCAGTTTATTTCTGTTTTTTCCTTTGTCTCTTCATGTTACCTTTTCAGCTTGTCAATTAATTAAGGTCCTGGTACCTGAAGTTATCTTAAAATTCCTAGACACACCATTGGCTTTTCCTAATCATGCTAAGCTCTTAGTTACTTTCTAACTTTGTCTCAATGGTAAAGGGTTTTTGCAACTGTTTGAAACTTTTAAGGGCAATGATTTAGCCTATCTTACACTTCCAAACTGTATAAGCTGTATAATGTGATGCTTCTATGTGAACGATATTGTTGACACTTAAAACACCATTTTTATCTGTGTTGCTACTGCAGAGAGATGTGTTTTTTGGTTGTATGAAGTTTATAGTATTTCATCTTATATTCATGTTTTGCAGGGAATAATGTATTGGCTGGATTGGAGCTGTTATACATCAGTGTGTGAAGGAATTCCAGATCCCTTGTGCACATGCTCCTGCTTATCACCTCTTCCATTGACTCAATTCCTTAGCCCTAAATCAGCTGCTGAGGAGGTTTGTAAACTCATTACAGAGCTTACTGCTTCTGAGATTTAGAGTGAATGACTCCTTCCTCTCGCTTGTTGTGCATGTGTCCTAGTTTAATGTATTGAATCTATTCATGGGGATTTTTATTTCACCACCAATGTGATTATAAAAAGTGCATGAACAAATATGACTGTACTTCATAATAGTGCTCATTAACCTGTTAAACATGCTTTGTATTTCATCCAGGTGGCTTTTATTATGAGAATATATGTGTTGTTCGTTGATACATTGTGCCTTTTTTTGTTTTGATGGCACTTTCCAGGTAGTTATAGACTGCTGTTCACATCAAATACCTTATTAATAGCATGACAGCATAAGCATCATAATGATAGTAATTTGTCAAATATCATGTCTTTGTTTCTGTTTTCTGGCAACAAAAAAGGAGTCAAAGCTGGAAAAACAGGACATGGAGAAAGAAATTTATGATACTCCCAAAAAAGATAAATGATAATAAAAAGAAAGAAATTATCTACTAAAATATAATAACATGAGTGAAAGTTACCTACTGTGTAATTGTCCACCGTAGTATACAACATGGCAAGCATAATCTTGGTTCTCTCTGTTGCATTGGATCATGCATGCGTTAGCATGGCTAGTCTCTTAAATGATATATATTTACGTCTGAATTCTCTTATACAGATAGGGTATACTTTTTTTCCATGTGTACTAGCTGGGCTGAGTAATGCACCACAGTACTTGACCAAGAGCTCTGAATCTTTGGAGAAGAGTTGCATCTTTGGAAGTGATGTTGTAGTGTTGTTCTTCCCCTTGATGCTTGTGGGGGAGATGGTGCTCTTGCTTTTGCAACCAGCAAAAGAAAAAAGGTGCACATTCAAAGACATTAACATATCCATGCCCTTTTCTCTCAAATAGAATTTATATTTGGCAACAGTTCCAGTAATCACAGATATTGATGTTCTTATTTCATGATTTTTTTTTTTTTTTTTTTTTTTTGGTTCCCAGCCCTTATAAAGCTGTAGAGGAAAATGAAACAGTTCTCAAGATACGCCGATAAATTTGGGATTGAAGTGTTGTTTGTTGATTATCAGGACAACTTATTTCATGATTTCTGTAATGTCCATGCTTTGTTCTTTTAGAAGCATTTAATTTAAAAAAAAAAAAAAAAAGAAGAAAAGAAAAAAAAAAAAAAAACAAGTTTTTGGCACCACTAAAATTATTTTTGAAACTCCTCTTTTGGTGTCTTTGCCAAAATGTAAAACGTAAGACAGAAGTAAAATATGTTCAGTTTTTTACTTTTGCAACTTTTTAATTACGGATCTCTAATAAAATCTTAAGAAGCTAAGAACCTGCTGTTAGAAGTTTCTTTTGCGATGGGTTAGCTTGAATCATTAAAGTAATATTTCCTTAATTATCTCTCCTTCTTGAAGAAAACAAAAAACCTATGTTATCATTCTCAACAAACGGAACTATAATTTACAATATTTTGGTAAAGAACTAGTGCCATGATATGTAGAAATCTCAAAAAACTGTCAGAGTAATTTGTATTGCAGTGGGCAATTATAAATTTACTTTCTCAGAAATTGAAAAAATAAAATAAAAGAAGAGAGCCAAGAAAAATTATTAGTGCTCTATCATCTTTGTAACTATATGCTTCATTGGAAATGGTGTTGCTTCAATATCAGCTGCAACCATTTGGTTATTGAAGAAAATGGAATCTCGTGCAGGTCAAGGTTTCAAACTATTGGGAAGCTATAGGTGTTATTGCAGCTCACAAGGCAGGAATAGACCCACATTCTCTCCGAAGAAATAGAATCAGCAACATTCGTTGCAGTTCTGTTATGCCGACAAATGGTACTGCAGTTTCAAGTGCCACACCAATTATTCAATAGAAGTATGAGTTCTGATTTCTTTTTACTAAAGTTACATAATCAATATTCGAAAATCATTTTTTTTTAATTCATTTGACAGCAGGTCTTAGCACTTCTATGTTTCTTTCTTTTAGTTTTTCTTAATTTGTTCATACTTTTCCTGGTTGTTAGAAATGAGGTCATGGAAAGTGTCATTTGTTAGTTGAAATAAAGCTCAATGTTTCAACATATTATCGTCATGTCATACCTGCTGGTAAAAAAAAATGATTGTTGGGTTGGTGAAACAGATGAAAGAAAGTAGCAACAACTTTTAAATTTTTAATACCAAATGCTTACCTTTAATTTATCAAAATTCATAGTTGGTATCTTGCCGAACTGATTAGCCATTTGAAACTAGCATCACTGATTTAGATAGGCAGTATCTATTTCAAGTCATCACTATAAGGTAGTTGAAAACTTTTATTTAAAATTAATACTCTACTCTAAAACTTTGATGTGACACAAAACAGAAAATCAATGCTTTGACTTTTTCCTAATCAGGATAATCGAATGGGTTTGTTTAGGCGATAATTGCATCATTTGACTGGAAAATAGACATGATTATGCATTTTTTATGCTCATATTTAAGTGAGTGAAGGTCGTCTGTTTCATACGCTCTAATCATTTTATCCTTTGCCCGTGCACCTCCGAAAAAATCTATTCTTGCTGTCATACATGAATCATAGATGTCATGACGATTTGATGATNGAAACTAGTACAACAACCTGTCGCCACTACCCCCCACCTAAATCGTGGATGTTTAGATGGAAAATCGAACCTGAGATTGTACACCTATCCACACTATCTTAAATTCGCCCTAACCATCTAAATTACCCACGAATGGGTTCAAGGTTGAACTTCCTCCTAATTATTTATATTTTAGGGAATCGATTCCTCTTTTAATTGTACAAGAATATGTGGTGTCCAGCGTATCTGGAGGTATATGAGAATGCTCTTTTACTAATATTATTACTAGTATTTGATATTGGTTATTCTTATTCATCAGCACGAGTTTAACTTACAATGTTTTTGAGAGCTTTCATTCAAACGAGTATTTTACATAGAGCCAATAAAGAATTTCATTAATAACCAACCAGTTTGGTTCTTTGGAGCAACTCAATGAATTTAGTAGTTTTTTTTAAGAACCTATTGACTGTAGATCTAACTTATCCAATGTTTACTCCATCCTTGGTTATTACCCGTAAGATACTAATTCAGGTATTGGGCAGCATTGTTAGAGCATCTTCAATTGCGTTCTTTATTTTAAAGAATATATTTCACATAAATAAATAGCATCTTCATTCATTTTTAAATATAAAGAACAAAATTTGTATTTAAATCTAATGGACTCTTTAAATTAAACTTTATAAATAGGAGAGATACTTAATATGAGAGAAAATTAACAATAAAATGCATAAAAACTTGTAATTTATTAAATAAAATTGGGATAGAGAATAAAATTTGACTCTCTAGATGTAGAGAGTCAAACTCACTTTTTAATATATATTTAAAGAATAAAAAACCTATTAAACTTTTGTTTTTATGGACAAACTCTTTATAATAAAGAGTTTAGGTCATATGAAAAGTCTTTTAGAGATATTTTAGTGAGGCTTTTTTCATCCAATATGGACAAAGTCTATCAAGCAATGGGTTTGGAGATGAAATAACCATACATAAAATTTAAAAATTCACATGGATATATGATATTGTAATCAACATAAAAAATTTCAAATTTCAAAAATCACATGGATAGACGGTACCAGGCAAAGCAAAGACTGGTCCTTCCTTACCAAAGAGTCAAACACATACACATTCCTCTAAAGTTGCTATAAATGGCGTAGACATTTTGATTGTTGTTAGGTTCAGGCCCATTTAAGGGATTTCTGGGCCCATCTCATTGTACAAAACAAAAAATGATAGAGATAGAAATGTTTGGGCGCGTTTGTTACACTTTTTAAAAAATATTATTCTGCAAAAGTGTTTCAGAGTTAAGTTAAATCAAATCAAATTGTACTTGAATATGAAAATGCGTTCAATAAAATATCTAAAATTATATTAAAGTTGGATAAAATGCTGAATAGTTATTTGGTACAATTTTTAAAAAAGGTTTTAAGACAGAATAATCGTTTGATATATTTTCTAAAAATATTTATTATTAAAATCTGGCCGTTGTTAACGGTCAGATCTCGGTGGTTGCTGGTAGGCGATAGTGGACTTAGGTGGATTAATTTTCAGATTAGAATGTGAGAAAAAAGAAAAGAAGAGAAAGAAAAATGTTTTAAGTTTAATAGAGTTGGACAATCTGAAAACAAGTCTAGAGGTGGGAATTTGGGCCCAAACCCGAAAAACAGGACCCAAGATCGGTCATTGGGAGGACCGGTCCTATAGGGTCTAGGCCTAGACTCGGACTGGCCCAA